CTCTCCACTTCCCCTCCTCACATGCAACATGTACAGAGGATTTGTGCCTCCCTATGGAACCTACTTTAATAGGCACATGGAATGTAGCTGCAAACATTGCTTCTCTCCCCCTCCCATAAAGAAATAAAAAGAGCAGAAGTATTCATGTTTCCGTTAAACTGCTTAAGGAGAATCACCAAAAGAAAAAAAGAGGGAAGGGGAGAAAACATAATACCACTTAATTTTTATGCATTATCATAGCAGTTCTTACCTGTTGTCAGAAGACGATCCTGCTGTGGCTATCAAAGATGATGAACTGATGAAAACAAAGTCATTGGCTGTTTTATTATGACACTGCCATGTCTGAAAAATTGCAGTTTAGGAATTATTACAAAAGAAATTGATTTGTGCAAGTATAAAATCTTGAGCTTCCTCAAGAATGTAAGCTGTTTAGAAAACAACTTAAGGAACACAGACTTACAAAGGTATGTGAATGCCTTCTGACTTTTCATACAAATACACTTTCTACTCATGCATTTTTGACAATTAATTAACAACTGACAATTATTGACAAGTCTCAAACAACAAAGTTATTTCAGATCTCACATTGCATTTTCTTCTCTCCAACTTAGTAAGTATGACTAGGATTTAAGAACTCGTCTGTCATATGGATCACAAGATGTCGACATTATATTGTTAAATCTTGATTAATACTGGTTATCAACACAGTCCCTGCCCTCTTCTAACTATTCCAAAGGAGGAAGGAAATAAGAAAGCACAACACAAGTTTATGGAAACAAATTTAGTTTTCAGCTTACCAAATACGGTTTAGGTGAAGTTCCAGTAAGTGGGCAACATTTCCAGTTTGTTTGATATAAACTTATGTATCCATCAGCATCAACAATTCCAAACTGCAAAAGAGATATTAATTGCAAATACATATGTATGTATTATAGAGGAATTACCCACAATTCAGAGAAGCACCTTAGATTTGAAGCATGTGATGTTTGTGCTAGTTTACAATTATATTAGAAGAGAGGGGGAAAGAGAAGAGGGCAAGTACAGAACTTTCTATCAGTTACCTTATTTCCTTGGTAGTTGAATCTCATTCGAGTTACCCTTGAGTTGCCACCAGACCGAAAACATGTGATTTGCTGTGCATGACCCCATTCAAACATTCTTACACTACCGTCTTGAGCACCGGTCAGGTCTGCAACAGAAAATATTTACATGAATTTTCACAGATGTAGCAGTTGAGCAGGAAGGTTGCTTCCAAAATGTTAAGAAATCTTACACCAGCTCATAACATCCTCAAAATAACTAGTGCCACACTATGTGCCATAGTACGTGGCAGAGTGTAGGACTAGTGTATACCACTGAAACTTAAAACTGTGCTATTGAAATATTATTGAACTATACTAATTCATTGTTTAAGAACTGTATTTAGATGGTACTGAAATATGAAGCTATTTACTTGGGAGATAGTAATGTATCTTTTTCATACTGTCTTTTATGCATCGTCATACTATCTTTTACCTAAGTAACAAGTAAAACAGAAGTACTTTTGTCCATTTAAAAAAAAAAGTAATAAAAAAATCACTTTTTCTAAAGGCTATTTTATATCCCCCGTACTTTTTCTGGGGGAAAGGAAAAGCCGTTTCAGTAAAATAGAGCTTATAATCAACTTTTAAAACATATAATAGATTGCTGTGCTAGTACAAAATACCTGCATAGTAAGAAACAGGGCCAGTAAGTAAATAAATAATCTTTAGCTAACCTCTCTTTTTCTTGGCAAAACTGAACTTACAATATGGTAATGTTGGATGAGAAGCCATTCTTCTGACGTTATTAATAGCCTTCTTGAGCATCTGTTCAATATACAAAATAGAAGAAAATTAAACAATACTACTGAGCAAGAATTTACTGAACTACAATAATTACTGATAACACAGAGCTGTTTCCTATCAAAATTCCTACTGAAAGCAAGTATTGGGTTTAGAAATGCAGACAGAAGTAATTTTCTTCCAGACTAGTGTAGATCTTAATAGTTCTGCAGTTTTATACATCTAGGTAAATATTAACTTTTTGCTTCAGAGATTTATGGATCCAAATATAAACACTCCTTAGACTGCAGTCTTACCTCTTTTCTTGCCAATTCCTTTCTGATTCCATTAAATTTATTGGAATATTCCTGAATATTGTAAGATAAGCAAGAGAGAGGCAGAAGCATGTAAAGAAAGAGGTAAACAAACTTTAACAGAAGTAAAAAATAGGAAGGAATATATTCATTTTCAAGTCTAGTTAATTTATTATCATTGATTGAAAAGTGATTATTTGCAGCCATCCGCAATAAGCAATATACCTAACAACTGGTAAATCAAAGATTCTTCAAAAGCGTTTATAATTTTGATAGTACTGATCCAATGGATTTTCAGTAGTACTTCTGTTCCTAAATTCCAAACTTTGCTTTGAGCAACGTACTGTACCAAGAATGCTGATTCTTAGCTGATTAATTCTTAACTGGAAAGAGTTAAATAAATGGAGTGGAGACATTAGACAATTAAGATAAAAACCTCATCTAATTAAGTAAGTCTAACCCACAATAAGAACAAACTGGTAGAGGTTTTTCGTCAGGGAAGTTCATCATATTTTCCCTGCATGTGTCTTCCCTTCTTTTCTTTCTGTTAATGCAATTCAAAGTCAAGTTTTCATTCTTTTATTTCCTGTTAGTTCTCCTTATCTGGCTACTTTGAGGACTGTCTTTCCTCAGAAAATTGTTGGATTCAGTTTGCTCCTGCATGTTCTATTTACACATACATTTGGAGGAGAAGAGGGCATATATTCTTATTTGTGCTAGGTGTTAACTTTAAATGATAGCACAAACAAAAGCTTGTTGCCAGAGCACTCACTTTCAACACAGCAGCATACCACCTTCTATGCATCAGTAACAAGCTGGCAGTGAACTTTCACAGAATCATTTAGGTTGGAAAAGACCTTTTAAGATCATCAAGTCTAACCCTAACTTTCAACTGCTGTAATTTTGTACAGTATTTGGCCTCTATTCTGTCACTGAAACAGCAGATAACAGATCAAGTATTTTAAGTATGCCATTCTCCCCTGGCCTCCAATTATAGAAGGGTGTGAACTGGAAGACTGGTACGAATTAAAAATTTTTTTACTTGCTTCATATTACTCAATATGATCCAAAGAACGGAAGAGCAATGTTTTCCAAACTTTCAGTTTGCAAACAAAAATGAGGAAAGAAACACTTCCAGGGAAATAATTTATTCTCTTGTTAAAATTTCCTAGTATTTGGATTAGTGGAGTAATTGCAATCCTCTCGATCGCATTTGAGCTGAATGTGGTTCTGGGTAACCTCATCTAGTTGAAGATGTCCTTGCTCATTCCAGGTGGGTTGGACTAGACGACCTTTGAAAGTCCCTTCTGACCCAACCCATTTTAGGATTCTATGATTTTGGAAGAAGATTTAGACAATATATGCATTATAAGATGACAAGAGACGATGATATTCTTCAAACATTAGTCTATACACAAATTCATAAATAATTGCAATTCTTTGCTCTCTAAACTTACAATTCATATCTGTGTAAGAGAAAGAACAATTATTTATGCTCATTCTATTTCTTCCCCAAAATGAAGGGCTGTGTTGAGTTTTATACCTACTAACTTTTATCCAGAAGTCAATGGAAATAATTTTCTTTCATTCAACAGATAAGCATGCATCATGATCACACAATGCTTTGGAAAAATGCAAGCATACAGAAATGTGCCTTTGAAAGACTACACTAACATAACTCTCAGGTGCAGTGTCTCTGATGTAGAATCAAGTCATTATCAAATGCAAATACTTCCATTACCAATATAATTGGCATTTGATACTGTTAGCCTTTAGTCTCCCCTTAACAATGGCTGATGCCTAGGGCACTGACTGCTTTGCTGGAGAGTTGGGTGCTTTGGGCCTAATGTACAGTAATGCTGAAGAATAAGAAAGATTAAAATTCAACCCAGCAATTATTAAACTGGTGATTATTGGTATCAGTCACACTGGCTTGGAAGACAAATTGTTGGACATTACCTGAGTTTCAAAATTGACAGAATGTACTATTTACTTCAGTATCCTCTTAGTTCCTGTAAGAACTGTGTTATCACACAGAAGGATCTCATGCTGAGCCTCCTTACTTACCTTGTATGAACTGTGTAAGAGGAAACAGTGAAGGACAGTAACAGAAAAACCTTAGAGCTAATACATTTACTGCCTATTATAAGTCCAATAGTTTCCCTTGCTGATGGAAGTGAAGCAAGACTGAAAAGCCAGTAATGGTAAAGAACAATAGACTATCTACTAAATGGTCTGCCAATTATGGAAAAGCAAAGATGAGAACAAGGATCAAAAGCAGTATCTGAAGGAACAAAGTAACAAATAGTAGCAAAAGAAAGATTTTGGAGAAGCTGGTTTTCCTGCAGATTTGAGTCCTGCAGCAGTAAATATATTTCCTCCCAAGAATCCCTGTACCTTCCCTCATTTACTTTGTCCTTCATTCACTACCTTTGCTGCTCTCCCTAGTGGGCAGGTGTCATCATATGCTATGGTTGTTTCTCTACTCTGCCAAAGTAAACAGCATGCCACACAGAATTTAGGTCCGAAGTTTGATGGCAAACACATTCAACACAAGCACAGCCATATTTCCTTAGGTAAGAAAGTTTTACTACATATAGAAGGTCATGTAAGAATATTTTACATTAGCAGATTATGTAATTACTTTGTTAAGGAACACATGCACAAAAATTCTGTACATCTCTCTGGGTGTATACATACATATACATATATGTATATATAAAAATAGAAGTGAGAGGAGAAAGTGGCAAAAGCAGTCAAAGAATACTTGCAAAAGAGATCCGATTGTAAAACCAGAGCTGCAAAATGGGCAACAAGGATCAGTAGCTCCTAAATAGAAGGGAGAGGTGTAGGTACTGGCTCAATACCCACTTCCATGTGTGGGTAACATTAGCGCTCCTATAATGCTCATTCCTTATTTACCACTCCTAATCACCAAAATATTTCAAAAATCAACTACAGTGTGAATTAACATGGTTCTTTCTTTCTTCTACCACTTACAGACTAGCTGTGCGCTGTTAAAATGCCACAAAGTGCAGCCAAGTCACAAGACTTGATGAATTCGGTTATCCAGAAAAACTCCACATCTATGTACAGAGAGGCCGTGAGATACAGGTGTCTTGTCTGACCATTTCAGTTAAGTGGCTCAAAATAAGCACCTCCCAGCTAAGTAATCAACAGATCTGCATTATTAGAGAACATCTATTCTGCATAGGAACCAAGTACGTGAAAGACCAGACTAGAATTATTATTTTATCTGAATTAAATCTGAGCTAAAAGCTTTTTGCTCAGGGGCAAGCTTCACTCCAGACACAAAATCTATTTCTTAAAGTAAAAAGTCCCCTTGTGCTCATACAGGTATCACCTCTATGAAAAGGAGGGTCAATCTGCTCATGTGGACATAGTCACACTTCAGTGGGTGTCCCCCACTCTAGTGTATTTCAGAAATGCTAAGCAGTGAAACTGATTGTCTCATCTAAACCATGATCTTCAGGAGTGAGATATTTAATAAGCAGGGTTATGGCGAAACTGCACAGCACTTCAAAGAAGACAGAGCTGACAAGAACTTGGAGATAAACAGTCATACATCAGCATGATGTGCAGTTCAAACTACACAGTGTTAGTAGTTGGTCCTGTTTTTGCAGTCCTGGCTTCCCAATTTTTATGAAACCAAGGACTCCCATTTTCCTCAAGTTCAAGCTGCTCAGTTTCCAGAGTTTAATTCACTTCTTTTGAAGCCTCTGTCCTGCCAGTGAAATCTGCTTTAGGATTTCATTCACTGTCCTTTCCACAATACAGGCTCCCACTAGCATGCAGTGCATTACAGTGGTACTTTGTATTAGAGCACAAGTTGGTATTTCCTTTTAAATAAAAACTGGAATAGTCTGGAACTCAGAATGAAACTTAAGATTATGCTTAAAATCTATCTCAATATTTTACACAAATATTTCAACCCAATCTTTACAAATTTACATCCTGAAATCTCCTGAATACATGCTTTTTAAACATAGCATTGGCTTCAAGTCATTAGAGAACAATTTATGCTACGAACTCTCAGTTGAACCTTGGTTCTTTATTTTTAAACAATGTATCTTAAGTAAAGAAAGCATATACAGCTTCGCTGAAAAGTCTGGCTTGCTTAGTTGGTGTACCTTCAATTCTGTGCAGTATTTTAACTTATTAATCAGATAATAATAAAAAATTCCAGCTCACCTTGGTTACACAGAAAAGAAACATTGACTTACATGCTAACTGTAAAATAAAACCAGCAACACTGAGCAGAAAAAAGGAGAGAAGTAGATAGAGTACATAAGGCTAATCTTTGACAAGCAACTTACCACAGATGCACCCCTGCCAGTTTGTGTACTACCAAGCCAAGGCATATTGATAGGTGTGCCGGGACTACTATGAGTATAGGGAGTGGTTCCCTGAACATTTACCAGATCATCACGAGCATGTATAACTAAGAAATCATCAGTCCTATAAATGAAACAACATAAGTTAGATTTCAAACAGCAACATTAAATACCATGCTTTGTTACACTGATTTAAACACAGTCAAGCTGTGATATTAGAAACAGAAGAAGTATACCCTTTATTTTCTATTTCCACATCCTCATCAACCCAAGTATAGATTTGCGTAGCTAAAATTGCAGAAACATCTAATTCTTGTATGTCATGACTCGATGCTATTGCAATGCAGTTCCGATTAGCCTGAAAAAAAGTAACACACAAAGGCAGTTACAAAAAGAATACTCAAAAGGGTGTTTTTAAAAAGATTTTCTCTTGTTATGGAACAGTTGTTAGCAAAAACATACACAATCCATGTACAAAACCCAAGTATTTATGTCTACAAATCTATTTAAACTGTCTAATCTTGACACTTCCTTTCTAAAAGTCTTTACATCTGGGATAGCATCACACACTATTTGTATTTTACACCTATCTCAAACAGTCCTAGTTTCTTCTTGCTTACAAGAGGTCACTATACTACAGTGCTTGCAACCAAGCTCCCCTTCTCCACTTCTTAAGGCTTAAACGGTTAAACAGGAAAAAAAAGATTAAATCCTGGTTCTCTTCAATACAAAAAGAAAAATACTCCTACACACAAGCTTAAAAAGTAGAGGCCACTTCTTCCTTCTCTCAATCCACTCAGAGAAGGAAGTGCTAAGAGTTAAAGCTGTAGCAGCATGGCTGGTAAAGGACCTCTCTCCCACACACAATAGGACTACTATCTGTTTATCAGGTACAACACAATTAGATTATCCTACCTCCTTTACACTCACCTTATTGACTGCAAAAGCAGTAATGATGTCAGACTCTTTATGGATTATTCTTGCCTTGCCTCCTGGGTATCCCATATCTGTTTCTATCTGTATTTAAAAAAGCAAAGCATGTTTAAATGCAAACTTCTAAGCAACAGCGCTTTTTACTGGAAGTACAGAGACCAAACACCAGATCATACACAATTTCATAGTTTTTTATCAATTTTAATTCTAAGAAAATATGGCAAATATAACCTGTAAACACCTCTTTCATGTGTACTAACGCAGCTTCCCACTGCCATGCTGTGTTTGGCACAGCAACACAGAAATGTCATATGTCACAGAACTCACAGTACTGTGCCCATTCTCAAGTTTTTCAAGGATGCTGAAAACCTGTGAGACTACATGCACACTTGGGGTGCTAATAACAAAATATTGATTCCAATTTCTTGCTAATACTGCTTCATTGCATAGTTAACAACAAGGTAGCCCACAAACATCACAGTGTTTCATTTCTGTCTTCTCGCTACTTTTGTAAAAGAATACTGAAGAATAAAGAATTTGTTTGCAATTCAAAGCATAATATTGTACTTTTTTCATCTTTCATACCAATCTTTCAAGAAAGTTACTATAAAGTTGTTACACAGTTCACTTTCGACCATCTTAAAACTAAGGCTCAGTGAAAATTTTTAGTAGCAAACTACTATCGTACTAACAAACTGCTCTAACTTCAGTTAACTACCTCTAGTTAACTACCTCTTATCTACAGGCAACTATGCTAGCCAGCCCCTACTAGTGAAAGGTCCTTATGTACTATGTTCCCACAGTACTACTAAATTTTTGTCACATAGGCAAATCTCAGTCTCAGCTCTTCACTTGGTAGAGCTGTGGAGTTTGATAATACATATTGTTCTTACCTTGTTGTTTAATCTGGCTTTCTAAGATACATTTAGTTTCAGATAGGGTCTGTAACAACAATAGTTTAACTGAATCTCTTGAAAAACTGTATTTTTAAGTCTTTTTCTATGTCAGCAAAGATATTTTAAGGGAGATTAGATCAGCACCGTTTCAAAAAGCATGTATTTCATGATGTAAGGTCTAACTAACTTGAACATTACTACTGTGTACCTTATTGATGATGGGCTCCTCCACCACAGAATTTTTCATGGTTTCATTGTGCTCCTCTAATGACTTCACCAAGGAAAGAACAATCACAGAACAGAAAATATAGGTAAGACATAACATGCAAGGTATCAAGGAAAGTTTTAATTCCTTTTTGTTTACACCAACACAGAACAACTGAAACACAACAGCATGTCTGCATACACATACATCTGTATTTTATGTAGTAACAGTAATTATCAAATTCTAAATGCTCTAGTCAGTACAGAAGACACCAATTTACCTATTCTGTATTGGAACAGCATTTTATCCATCTCAAAAGTCGAATATACTGGAAAATAAGTGATCTCCACTGACATTTTATCAGTGACAAGAGGATACAAAATAAAGCCAACACAACTATGCTGTGTAAGGCTGCCAGTGATCCCATTTGAAAACACATAAAGCACATTTTAAATACTCCAAAATACCTTTCCATACAGCATAACAATATGGCTGCATTAACATAGGACATGATTAGAAACGGTGTCTTTTCAAAGGACAAGGAAAAAAATGAACAATCTTCCTTTTAACTGCAGCCTGCAAAATTAGCCACAAATAAACAAGCTAATATTCTAGTTGTGACAGTACAAAGATTAGCTCATACTGTACTGTTTACTGCCATGCCTTTACTAGTCATGAATACTTTCTCCTGCATTTTGAACTTGTTCAGATGTTGTTTCTCCTATGTTTTTGCTACTCCATATTTTTTCTGTAATACAAGTGATTCATTCAAATTATTGGGAGTAGATCGAAAACAGCAACTAAAGAGGGAGGAGAAAAAACACAAAACAAAACAAAAAACTCCATTACAGAACCACAGCTCTAAAAGATTTAACTGAATCTGGAATCTAGCTAGACACTGGGACACGTTATCAGGGACAGAAATATTAACTGTTATATAACCATTTTTCTTACTAATTTTGAATCATAACATGACAGAAAACAGTGGGTAAACCCAGGATGTTCTACTTTTAAAACTTTGATTAGGTTACTGGTTTTAATCACTGATATTTTAAAGTTTGTCATTCTATTGAGGCAGCTTTTATACTGATTTTAATGAAGAGGATGACTGTAGCTAAGTGGTGCTAGCTATCAGTCTTCTGTTAAAGACTGATTATTTTTGTTTTCAGTGAAACAATGGACAAAGATTTTTAATATGGAATACTGCCAGTTTACAGTCACAGCCAAGTGCGTATCTAACTGTGCCCTAGAAAGTAAACAGATCAGACAAGTAACTTAAGTAAAACCTTACAAATTGACTTGCAATATTTTATGCATTTTATATACGATACTAACCTCATTTAGGCATTGCTTCTTTGTAAAAATATTTCTGATAAAGGTTTCCTGGATTTCTTCCTGTTTAACCAAATACTGCCAGAGCCTCTTCACTGACAGTGCAACATGACTGTTAGACCTAAAGAGCCAAGTTAAAATAAATATTTACATCACGATCATGAGACTACAATATCTTCTAGTCTAATCAAGCTATAGTCAGAAGAAATGCTGAAGCAACAGCTCTCTAAACTCTGTACGGGACCTATTCAGAAGCCTCCTGGTACCATCTTCCTGGCAAACCTACATGTGAGATGAGATGCAAAAGAAAGGTAGAAAAGAACATGTAACATCTTTATTTCCTATACTGGGACAAGCGAGAAAAACCTCTTCAAGAGATTACGTAACAATAAGGTCAGCATACAGGTAATTTGTTAGTCCACCTTATTCTCTACAACATGGATTAATTTTGTTTATTGCTAATGAGTACTTCAGTCACATGGACAATGAATGACTAACAGTTCCTGCTAGGAACACATCAATTTTGTAACATCTCTGAAACAATCATGACTTTTCAGTAACAAAATTGGAAGGATTGCAGAATCAGATCAGGCTTTAAATATTTATGATTATCCCTAGAAACTGTATAATCAAGCATAATTGTAAATACAAATATAGCTGCTTATGGTAGGCCAAAAAACATCAAATCCTGAATCACTTTAAATCGCAATTTAAAAACAATGCCAGCCAGCAGACAGGTGTTAAACTGTTCCTTTTTAATCAACTCAAGTTACTAAAATGGTGACAACTGTGAGGTATTTTACAACAGAAAGACAACCTTTCTGTTGATTTTGCAGCCACAGCTGATGACAGTATTTTAAAAAAAAAAAAAAAAAGGAAGAAAAATGATCTAAAATTGACAGTTTCAGAAACTGAGCACACTTTTCTGGCTGAACATGCAATTATGTGAAGTCACAGTTATGCAATTATAAAGAGTAAATATCTCTCCTCTGATTTGAGGAAAAGATAATGATAACTGTACTTTTATTCTTTCCAAAGATGGGCAAATTATTTAATTCATTTTCACTCATACTTAATTATCTCTCAGGGCAAATTTGCTATTATTTTTATTGTCAACCATAGTTCTTCCACAGAGACACCAAACCCACTACAGTCAGCTTCAATAAAATAACTTTAAAAAATTTGAAACCTGTGATTTTTTTTTCCTGATCTTGTTTTGGACCAGTGATACATGAATTCTGATGTGTAGCCACAACTCCAGAAACTGGAATTATATTGTTATCAAAGTCATGGTTTATCACATGCATTAACAGTATTTTAAAGATACTATAGTCACTGTTTATAAAAATTGGGCAGACCTGAATGGAGTGTTTGTAGGCTCAAGTAAAGTTTTATGGCGAAGCAATGCAGGACCAGCAGCTAGGACATCTTCAGAAGCATGAACAGAAATATACTGTTGAGGTGGACCCCCGTACAGCTCAAGACGTCGGAGAAGAACTTGTTCCCAGCGCTGTAGTGTTTTCAAAACTGCATGGCATATCGGGGAGCTAACTGGAAGCTCTAGAAAGACAAGAATAATAATAAAAAAAAAAAACAACAAAGAAAACAAACCTTCCTTCTTCATTATAACCTTGACAAATATAATTCCACAGGTGAAGGCTGAAGTGTACTTCAAATATCTCCAAAAGTAAGCTTTATTCAAACTTCAACTTGGTATTTGCAAGTAAAAAAAAAAAAAAACCAAAAAAAAAAAAAACCATTACTCTGTGCTAAATGGAGAAGCAGAGTTCTCCAATGCTGACATATTAAATATCATGGAACAGATCCTCCTGGAACCTGTGTCAAGGCATATAGATGACAGGCAGGTGATAGGAGAAAGCCAGCATGGCTTCACAAAGTGCAAATTGTGCCTGACTCACCTGGTAGCATTCTATGATGGACTGACTGCACTGGTGGGCAAGGGAAGAGTAACTGACATCCTCTGCTTTTGACTTCTGTAAGGCCCTTGACATGGCCCCACACAACATCCTTACCTCTAAATTGGAGCAACATGGATTTGTTGGGTGGACTTTTTGATGGATAAGGAATTGGCTGAATAACTTCATCAAAGAGTTTGAATCAATGGTTCTATGTCCAAATGTAAATCAGCAACAAGTGGTGTCCCTCATAGGTGTGTACTGGGATCAGTACTCTTCAATATCTTCGATAATGACATAGGGAATGGTAGTGAGTGCGGCAGCTTTGCAGATAACACCAGGATGAGTGGTGCAGTTGACTTACTAGAGGGAAGGGATGCCACTCAGAGGGACCTTGACAGGCTTGAGGAGTGTGACCCTTGGGAACCTCCTGAAGCTCATTCACAAGAACAAGTGCACCTGGATCAGGCCAATCCCCAGTATCAATACAGGCTGTAGGTGGTGATGAAGGGATTGAGAGCAGCCCTGTTAAGAAAGACTTCAGGGACACTAGTGGATGAAAAATTGTACCTGAGACAGCAATTTGCATTTGCAGACCAGAAAGCAAATCGCATCCTGTGCTGCATAAAAAGATGGGTACCCAGTAGGGTAAGGCAGGTGATTCGCCTCCTTCTAATTCATTCTCATGAGACCCTTACTGGAGTACTGAATCCAGCTCTGGGGTCCCCAGTACAAGACAGACATGTACCTCTTGGAGCAGTTCAGAAGGCTGGAAAACCCATTCTATGAAGAAAGACTGACAGAGTTGGAGTTGTTCCGCCTGGAGAAGAAGAACTCCAGGGAGACCTTATTTCAACACTTAAAGGGGACTTAAAAGAAAAATGGAGAAAGACTTTTTACCAAGGCCTGTACTGACAGGAGAAAGAATAATGGTTTCAAACTAGAAGAGAGTAGATTTACATTAAACAGAAGGAAGACTTTTTTTGTGCGATGAAGATGGTGAGAAACTGGAGCAAGTTGCCAGAGAAGCTGCAAATGCCCCATCCCTGAAAGTGTTTAAGGCCAGGTCAGATGGGGCTTTGAGTAACATGATTTAGTGAAAGATGTCCCTGCCCATGAGAGGTGGGCTGGACTAGATCATCTTTAAAGGTCTCTTCCAATACAAAGTATTCCACAATTCTATGAAAAAAGGAGTAGGAATAATGTAACTTGAATTGCAAAAAAAGGTAAGATTTCCTCCAATAAATTAATATTGTAAATATTCTTGTATGACTAACAGGCAAAAAAACCCTACATATGCAAACTTCTGCTAACCACTGAGCATTCCTTCTCACACACACATCTTGTCTACCTATCATGTTATTTCACAGATGTACCTATGTGACATATATTCCAAGATCATGGAGAGATTAAGAACTTTTGAACTAAAAATAAAGCTATGACATAGATATTATTTAACACATTACTGATTTTAAGTGTGGTTAAGTATGAAAAGACAACTCTGCTGCTTATTACCTGAAAGATCATGTCCAGCCAAAGGGTAGAAAGTCTTCAAATTGTGAAGTACCAGCTGAACCATTGCCAATCTCATCAGTGACCAACTAACAAGAAAGCACTAGTAAGTCATTCACTAATAATAAATTTTTCATTTATTCACGATTAGGATTTAAATTTAGAGCTTTAAATCCTCATTATAAACTGCTGAAAACTACAAACCATATTTCAGAATACTGTAATTACTCTGAATTCAAAAGTCACTATACCAAGAACTAATAAAATTGTTATCATTGTGAAATATTAACTACTAAGTCTGAATAATGCACTGCCATGAAATACCAAGTAACTGGTTTATTATCGCAAAAGTAAAACGCCAGAAATACAAGTCTAGCCATCAGAGAACATCTTGCATTCTAAAGAGTTACTTACCTGTATGAATTTGAATTTGAATGCTCTTGATTATGTCTATTTGATGCAAACACATCTCCATCAACATCTTCATCATCTTCGCCACTTTCATGACTTTCTTCTGAATCATATTCCACTCTACTTTGTGACGGAAGAAAAGGCTAAAAATTTAAGCAATATTCTTTGAGTATCTTCTACCAACATTTGGTTTTAAATTATCTTTTAAAAAATTATACCTATTATCTAATGCCTTTTACAAAAAAAGCAGACAGAATATCTTACAGTTAGTAACATTTGAAGTTTGTACCTCATGAGACGGTAACTGTCTATGAGCACTGCGTACTTTAACAGGCTTTTTACTTTATTCAAAATTTTAATACTGACAATGAAATTACTAGCAGTTTTCCAATTTATATTTTGTTTTAGATTCACATCAGATATATCAAATAACACATAGAACACATAAGCTTATTATTTGTCAGAGAAGCCAAAATTCCCAGTGTGTATTTTGTAGTTCTTCAAGGGCTCAGAGGACTAAACAACAAGAAAATCCTATCCCCTGCCTATAGTCTTCAGTATTTACAAGCCCACTATCAGTGCCTCACTGCGTTACTAAGTCTTTGCAATTTCCTTGCTCCTAAAATACTGCTTATGTATTTATTTTGCTGATATAGAACCACAGAATAGTTAAGGTTGGAAAGTGCCTTAAGATCATCTAGTTCCAACCCCCCTGCCATAGGCAGAGACACTTCGCACTGGGCGATGTCGCCCAAGGCTCTGTCCAACCTGGCCTTGAACACTGCCAGGGATGGAGCATTTACCACTTCTTTGGACAACCTGTTCACCACCCTCACAGTAAAGAACTTTTTTCCTTATATCTAAGCTAAACTTCCTCTGCTTAAGTGTGAACACATTACCCTTTGTCCTACCACTACAGTCCCTAATGAAGAGGCCCTCCCCAGAATTCTTGTAAGATCCCTTCAGATACTAGAAGGCTGCTACGAGGTCTCCACGCAGCCTTCTCTTCTCCAGGCTGAACAGCCCCAACTTCCTCAGCCTGTCTTCATATGGGAGGTGCTCCAGCCCCCTGATCATCCTTATGGCCCTCCTCTGGACTTGCTCCAACAGCTCCATATGGCTAATATTTAATACAGAAATGTATCATACCACTCCATACAATTATGTAACTTTCTACAAAGGAAGATCTGCTACAGTAGGCCTGACAAATGGCAACATAATTTGATTTCAAGTAAGTACAGGTATTCATTTAACCTATTTGAAACAGATGATAAAAAGCTACTCACATTTCCCTGTTCATATAAATATCTGATCCATAATTACCTATACATTTGTATTCTGCAACTGTAAAAAGCAATGTTTTGTTCATACAACTATCTGAAAACTAATTTTGTATCAACAGTTCTTAAGAAAGCTGATTCAAAAATACTTCTAGTCAGTGTGTTAGAAAAAGCTCAATATAAGTAATAAAAACAAGCAGTTTATCACACATGTAAATCGATAACTAGAATAAAGACTAAGAAGAAACAAAATTACCATTCCAGAAGTGACAGAATATAGTTAACTGCCATAAAAGCAAAAAATTACCTTGGCAATGAAATAATCCCAGATGCTAAGCTCAGGAGGAATAAATCTTTCTTTGTAAGATGGAGATTCTTGTTCTACCGATGGCAGTGCAGGCAACTGTGAACTCTCTTTCGGAGATGTTTTTGATGACAGCCTGTAATGTTTTTGCTGTTTCTCTCCATCATCTACAGAGGAAGAAAATACAGTATGTTTTTAAATTGTCCAGTCCACCTCCCTACTGTTTTTAATAAGAGATTTATAACCAAAAATAAAAATCTTCCTTATTACATTTTTCAGAATTTTATCTTAACATTTCTGTAGAAAAAAAGCATAGAGAATCCTCAAGTTTGCAAAACTAATGCATAACTAGAACTCCAAAAGGGGAAAACCCCCACCACAAAGAATACAGTAGAATACACTCATAACTGTGTAAGAAGCGTTCTTCCTAACAAAGATGACAAGTATTGTTGCTCAAGCAAAAATACTGCAGAACTAAATTACTTTAATAAGCACTACTGAATACTTATTATTCTTGGTTTTTAAGACCAGCCATTAATTTTGTATTTCATAATTTATAATGCAAATATCCAAGACTCACTCCTACTCCAAGTTTTAACTCCATGTCTCCTTCCACAGGAATTGTGTACTTTTTCTAAATCATACAGTTTGACAAATCCGTATGTCCTGACAATGTATTTCTCCAGCAAATATAAAAGATTGCTAGGAAGACTATGGAGTGAATCCTTCATAATCCCTCCATATGAGGCTTCCACAAGTCAAATCAAGCATGTGACTCGGAAAAGCCAGCACCAATTCACTAGGGGCAAATGGTGCTTGATAAACTCGATCACCTACAACAAAATAATCTGCTCAGGTGATCCTGAGTGAGCAGTGGACATTGCCTACCTGGATTTCTCCGAGGCTTTCAACACAGTTTCCCACACTCTCCTCCTAGAGAAGCTGACACATTATGGTCTCAATGAGCAGTGTGTGAAGTGGGTGGGGAAGTAGCTGACCAGCTGCACCCAGAAGGTAGTGGTAAATAGCTCCTTTTCCAGCTGGTGAACTGTCACATAACCATCTGACAACCTGAAATTATGCTGGCTCTTGGTAGGGGAATTGTATTCTAATATAGCCTTTCTGCTAGGTAGAGGATGAATGATATTGATAATCACTGCCCCTGAGCAGTAAGTTACACGTTCTGGCTCTCCAGAACACTTCTAAAGGAATGAAGGAGAAAGGGAATCATAGTTGGAGATTTGATACCATATGGTGGCCTTCATTCATCTTCCATTACAGACAAAATGGACTTGAATCCATTTCTTGTGAAATTTGTTTTTTATTTTCAAGTATGTACATGCAATGTAAGGAGATCAGTTGCTATTGTGAAACAACTGAACAGGTCCAAGACTCACATAAAGAAAGAAACATAAAACAGTAAGATAAAAAGAGAGTAAATTTTTTGAACTGCCTTTTGAAGTTCTCAAAACTTTCAAGAATTATGTAACCAACTACTGAACATTTATTTTTTTCTTAAGCATCTCAAAATCTCCCTTTTCCAATTAAGGTTTGAAAACCGATGACGCTGCCCAAAGGAATCATTGAGCACACTTCAGTTCCAACCCCACCCTTTTTTTTTTTTTTTTTTTTTTACTTATTAAAGGGAGAGGCAGGGGAAGCAGTTGGGGAAGAAGAGTATAGGAAAAAAAATTGGTTGTTTCTTGTTTAGTTGAAGAGGCTTTTGTTTTGCGTAGAGCAATAATGAGACCAGGCAGCTAGTCAGAAAAGACCTCATCTAAACAGCTCTTAAGTGGAATACAATTCGCATTATGACTTGAGTTTTTGGCTGATCTAACAGCAGTAATAGATAGGCTTCAAAAAAGCAAACGTGCAAGGATGAACTAATATGAACATCACAAATGCAAATGGATGCTTTATTACTTTAGCTTTCCTTATTCCCTTCTGCTGCCAAGGACCCACCATCAATAACTTCCACTGAAACTTGTGAAATTACTTTGTCCAGTTAACACTTTTGGGCACCAAAAGAGCCAACATCCCTATGTGCCACAAGTGAAGTATTACAAAGAAATATTTCCTATACCTTTTTTTGTTTGTTTGTTTCTTTACATGTTTTATCTACAGAAGACTTTTGACTCTTGATAGATGCTTGAAAGACTATTCTCTTCAAAACTCTTCTAGGTACTGTAATCACTTGAAAACAGAAGGTCTAACACTCTAGACAAGAGAAAAACTGCTCATTTAGAACAGCTATATTCCACATATAAGACCTACATGCTCATAACACTACCTAAGCCGACATTGAACCCTGAGGGAGATAAATTTTAAGTTGTTTTTTAATAAAAACATTTTTTTTTACCTCACAACTATGATTTTATTTTTTTTTTTGAATGGGAAAACTCTCTATTCACAGTGGCTGATGGAATTTTTTCATAATTTCTGGTTACTTTTAGACCAGAAAAAAACCCCACATTTTTTCAAGGATTTTCAAAACATTTTGGACCATGTATGAAGACAACCATTACCATTACGTGGTATCATAAAATCACAGAATGGTTTGAGTTGGAAGGGACCTTAAAGACCATCTAGTTCCACTCCCAATGCCACGGGCAGGAACATGTTCCACTAGACCAGGTTGTTCCAAGCCCTGTCCAACCTGGCTTGAACACTGTCAGGGATGGGGCAGCCACAACTTCTTTGGGAAACCTGTGCCAGTGTCTCACCACCCTCATAGTAAAGAATTTCTTCCCAATGTCTAATCTAAACCTTCCCTCTGTCAGTTTAAAGCCATTCCCCCTTGTCCTGTTACTACATGCCCTTGGAAAAAGTCCCTCTCCAGATTTCTTGCAGGGCCCCTTTTAGGCACTGGAAGCTGCTCTAAGGTCTCCCCTGAGCCTTCTCTTCTCCAGGCTGATCAAACCCAGCTCTCCCAGCCCTCCGTCACAGGAGAGGTGAAATATATATGAACTATAAAATCATTTTTATATAGAACTTAATAAAAGCTGAAGACAACATCACATCTTTCATCTTGAAATTGGGATATTTTAAAAGTCTTTATTGCACTACTATACTGTATTTCCCACACACACACTGTTAAGGATATTATTTGAAATCCACTTACCTGTACTAAAAGTTGCAAATATAATAGCTGCAGTAAAATGTATTTTCAATTCATTATCTAAAGCTCATCAGCTAAGAAAGAGCATGCACATGCATCACTATGAAATTTTAGCCATTGCTTTTCAAAAAAAAAAAAAAAAAAAAAGAAAAAAAGAAAAAAAGAGAAATTCACTAGGCAGGAAAGAAGGAGCAAGTGTTGCATAATACAGAAATAAGCAAGTATATGCTTGCAGGTTGTTTTTCTAAGCAAAACTGAAAAAACAAATGCTTTACTTTAAACCAGTACTTTTTTCCATTCTGTTGGATTATTCTTGGTATTTTTAAGAATACTGAAGGCTAGTCATTGAAAAAAAAAATAAATCAGTATTTAGGGCAAATGAAAGTACAACCTTCTAAATGGTTTGGAATTCATACCACTAATGCTAATTTTTTTTTTTTTGATTGCATTCTAAAAATCTTTGAATAAACTAAAAAAACATTAAAAATCTGACTTTGTCATTTGGGATTTCAGATTACCAATTATACTCACTTTCAAATTTCTAATATGCCTAGTTAGAGGTCTTTTACATGCTTTTTGCATTCAAAACATTTCTCTTTGGTCTCATTTTACTTATAGGACAAATGTAAAATTTATGTTATTTTCCATGAATATTGGAGTCTTTCAGACATGGAAAATGCCTCTATTTCTGTCAAGATCTAATACATGCAATGATATTCAAAAAGCCTGTTGCCCATGTCACCTCTCTTCCACCTTCCCAAGAAGAGCTAAAAGACAGATCTCTTACAATTTCCCCAAAACCTAAAAATCAAGTCAGTTACTGTGTTTTACTGAAGACTGTATGCAGGCATGAAACTTCAACACCCCAATACCCCAGGAAAAATGCAATTCTTCATTAAGAGATGTAAAGTTAGAAAAAGCATTGTCCTTGACTGCAGGCATCAACAAGCATCAGCACTGCTGAGGCCCAGAACAGAGTGGAATGATAGAGACATGACAAAGAAATACTGATTTTGTATCACACCTCAAATCATTTTAGTAAATGTAAAGCCCTATAAAGATACCTACTTCTCTGGGAAGGTATGTAAGCCAACTGAAACAACAGCATGGTAAAAATATACACTATTGGACATTTTGACTTCAGATCTAAGAAGAACTTGCATTTTGCAAGGTTACTAATCCTGAAATTTTCAACATGATGTTCTGCTTACTCATGGGCAATAGCTTGTGTGGCCAAGGTGATGAATTTAATGAATTAGCACTCAACATCAGCAACTGCAATTAAGCTGCAGTTCGATTACTGTATGTGCACAACACTGTAAGGTCTTTGTTCTACTTATGCACATTTAATAACTAGTGCAATTCACTGAAAAGCCCAAAGCAAGTATATATTAAGCTCTCAGATGTTTCTGAAAACATTATATAACAGATGTCCCTACCCATAGCAGGGGGCTTGGAAGCAGATGATCTTCAAGGTCCCTTCCAACCCAACCATTTTATGATTCTGACTTGGCACATTTCAGTAAGTGGTGAATGGACACTTCTTCAAAATTAGATTAAGCATAATGAAAATACTTGGTGGCATAAACAAACTGCGTTGATACTTCCTGCTCTGATCATCTAAGGTATCTTCTACTGAGCCAAAAAAAAAAACCCAACCCTCTAGCTTTCACAGTGTGAACACTTCAAGTCAAACTTCCGTTTTAATGACTGACTTAACTAAGAATATGAGAGTAATAGTGAGAAGACAAAGACTTTAATATGGAATAGAAAGGCCACACAAGTTAATGAAGTATGCAGTACCCCAAAATACCATAAGAAAATAAGCCCAACATTGCAGTCTCTAATTCTGAGTTAGAATTTAAGGCAATTATTCTCACATTGATGTCAAAGTTTCCATTACTAACACTATCATAGGGACTTCTGCATTAAAAAGGAGCAGTTCAGCATGGCTGTTGTAGGTCTTACACAAGCTAGAAGGCTTTAAAAAAAGAAATAAATAAAAAGAAAATCAAGGGATATGTATCCTTTTCTACATTCTGAGATTAAGCCATTCCTGGAGACAAAGTCTAAATATGGAGATTTGTACTGTTGTTTCTGATTTGATTGGTGAACTTTGGGCTGGAAGCCCAAAGCATAAAGTTTCTAGTCTTGAATTACCAATGCAAGTTCAGGTTTTGCTGTTGTTTTGTTGTTGTTGTTCTGTTTTAGAGTCTGAATGAAACCTACCCAATAGTAGGTACAGCAAGCAGATAAATGCAAGAGCGCTAAGGGTTTGGATTTTCTTTACAATTGCGTAAGCAAACTTGCCCAAACGCTAAATTCATGTTCTGTTTAGACGCTCTGTTACTTTAAGTAACTTTAAGATTTATAAAAATCTGTACTGATAGTATGTTTTCTAGGTGGTCATCAGCAAGCAAAAGCTACAAATTAATTCAGAGGATCTAACGAGAAATATGTGCATAAGATGACAGCAGGACTGCATATCCTACACATAAATTTTACATGCACGTCCTCATTATCAAGGCATCTATTTCTCAAAACTTACGGCATTTTGACCAAAACTAGTCATAGGAACAGCTGAGATCTTGTTATTTCTCTCTACCAAAGTACCCAGAAATAATAATTTCTGTTAAAACTTTTTTTAATTGCTTGGAAAGTTAGGACAATCAGCAGAGAAAAACAACTTGTCGTAATAGTCAAGTATTAATAGATTTCTAATTTTCTACATCTGAAACCCAAAATAACAACTTTAAATCTATGAAGTGTTCTTGTAAAATACTCAAGTTTAGGAAGTAGTTTTGAATTTAATTTACTCTTGTAGCATGGAATAATTGAAAGTATGAAATGAAATTATGGATTTCTAACTGGTAAAGCCAAATTCAAACTTTTCCTTAAAAAAACCTCTGGATTATGGAAAACTTACCATCTCCTTATGGATTTCAGTTATGAAAAAGTTTTCTGAGGCAGTTTTGAAGAAAAACTATATGGTAAATATGAGTATGAAAAAAACTACTATAATCAACAATAGGGTTATTTTTCAGATGCTGCCTCTTTAAAAACAAAACATATCTGTAGTTTTAAGACATAGTAAATTTTCAAATGCTAATCCAGTTTGTCAAAATGCATCCACAAAACGAAGAAACACAGCTGGAAAGTATAACATGTCAGGCAGCTCTAAAAAGCATTCAAACTGCTATGCTTTGTTTGAGCTTTACTGTGAAAAAGGCAATAAACCAATAGTTTTTTACTCAAAATAATTCTTAACAGAGGTCAGGATTTTACAAGACTATCAGGAACTATTTTTATATTCCTGTTATTCAGTTTCTCTCTAAAAGAAAGATTACATAGGTTGGAAGGGGCCTGGTACAACCCTTCCTCAGAAGAGGGCTAACTTAGGAGATGACCTAGTTTTTTCATGTTCTGAATAACCCCGAAGATGGAAACTCCACAACCCCTCTAAACCCGTCTTCCAGTGTTTGATTATTGCTACAAATTAGAATTTAAAAAAGCTCCTTTCTTCCCTTAAATTTTCAGTTTCAGCTTCTTGATTCTTCCAGTAAGTTTTACTAATACTGTAATCAGACAGCTAGCATTCATTTTTAGGAAAAATATGCAGTATAGAGGAATTCAGCATACATTTCAAAATACTGTTCTATGTAAAGACAATTATTTTATCACTTCAAAACAGTAGTAGCAGCAGCATTGATCCAACTCAGTATACAGTTACCAACACCTAGGAAACTTAGAATTGCTAACAACAGCCAGTTATAGCTTCCAACAATTCTGATATGGCAACTATATTTACCTTAAAGTAATAATAAGAAATATTTATTCAGTATCACAGTGAAAATTCATCAGATCTAGAATAAGAACTCGATTAAAGATCTCTTAGGAAAGTATTTTCAGAGTAATGTCTGACAAAGTCTGTATTTAAACAGACTTTATTTTCAGTTTGCCTTAAATGCAAGGTAAGACACTTTTATATATAACATACCTCTAACAGCAATAGTAATGATATAATAATAAAAATACAGTTTAAGTTACATTTTACGTATACGTTCAAATGTGATGTACATAGCTTAAGTATTTTTACTAAATCTTCCTTTTAAAAACTATCTCTAGGAACGTTGTTCCTGGTTTTATAGAAGTCCAACTAAATTATAAAGCAGAAATTTATACCAAAAAAAAAAAAGCATTACAGAATTAATTCTGGGCCTCAGGATAATTTGCAATCATCTGAATATAAAACTTGAGGATTGTTTGCTTTCCTAAAGGCTTCTTAGACTACCAAAACTGACTAGCAACAAGACACCTTTTCTTTGTAATGTCTAGAACGAACACTTAGAAATCCACATGCATAATAATGCACTGAAAAAGCAAAACAAGCAGCTTTCTGACAAAGATATGAAACACTTCTGATCCTTTCAAACCATGGTCAAAGTTCTTTTATATTGCATACTGATTTCAAATTAAGTGTACTAAGAGTACACCACCACTGCAAATTTTTTTGAAAAAGGCCAAATTCAACTGCTGCTTTAATTAAAAAACTTCACATTAAATTTGATGTCATGGCTTGCAAACAGAAGTTTTTCTGTCTTTTGACATATGCAAAACAAAAATTAAAAAAAAAAAAAAAAATCACACATAGCAAACTGCATGTAAAGGCCTAGTACTAAATCTAGTATCTTGCCTGAAAATTTGGTAGGACTATGAGTACTCAAGGTGGTAAGGGATTTGGAAAACCCCACGCATTCCATGGAGAACACTACTACCTGATGTGGGCTAGGCATTGGGAAGTGCCTACCTGCCAAAGAGAGAAAACATACTGTATTTGCAAAATGGGAATATATTGCTGTTATGAGAGAATTGGAAAGCTTCAAAATTAGCATTGAAAACTAGGCTGTAACAGTACTGAAAACTTTCTCTTTAAGAAGAACTTAATCCCATCACATTACAGCAGTTGTGCTACTTGGAAGTGTTATTTCAAAAGGTTTCACTTCTGTTTCCTACTCTATTCTACACAATAGCTATACTACTACATTTAGATCCTTGTCTGTCTTTGCAGATCTTAAAACATACTGAATTTTTATGAACATGAACTATTTAAAGCAATTACTCTTAAGCTTTCAGCAGTCACATCATTTTCGAGAAGACACATATAAATAAACCAATACAACTAACCAGGTTTTGTCTTTAATTGAAGTTGTCCTCTGCTGGGTGTATGAGCTCCTCCTCCAAAGATAGCAGACCACATCTTATTGTTAAGTGGATGAGCCATAATTCTATACAACTCATTGCTAGCATGTGTGGCTAGGCCATGGATGAAGAGACTCAGGTAGACTGCAGTTAGAATTTCACAGAGTAAAACTGTGAGACCTGGCTGGGCTTCCTCACCAGCAGAATTCAAGAGATGTATCAGAGCTGTTATTCCTGTTTATAAAAAAAAAAAAAAAAGGGAAAAAAACCCCCCCATATATGTGTGTGAACATATTCCAGTTTATCATGGTATCTTGACTAGCAAACTCACATTATTTAGTACCTTCTACTGTACAAAAATTCTATGTTTTACAGGAAACTGAAAAATCCAGGAGAAACTGTCATGTTATTTATTTTTAACAGTTCATTATAGCTTTTCAGCTTCATGTTTTGGACTGACAGTTACAGAAATACATAGCAACGTTTCAAGGATAAGGGGAGGGAGAGAGGGAAATCATACAAAACCATTAAAATTTGGGGATAACTCTTAAATAAAAACCTGGCAACTTTAGTTCAACTCCCTGGTACTGAAACTCTGTGATACATTTGATTACACTAGTTACATGAACTTTTCTTTCCTCCATGCCTCAAGGTCTCTCTTTTCAATTCTTTGAGCAAGGGGTCAGCTCTTTACTATTCTTTCCTTTGAATTCAGTGTCTCACAGTATATTCAATACATAGCATCCAAGTCTTATATTTTAAATACTAATTTCTCATTGACTGTCTTGTGGTGCTTGTTTCACCAGTTTGGTTTGTAACTCCAGTGTAACACTGAAAGTTGAAACTCTAGATTTTCACTTTATAGTGATAAAATGAACCAAAAATCATGGGCATGAACTTGAAGTATACATTGTCTGACAAGTATTCTTTCACCCAAGTACTAAGCAAGCTGTAGAGTTTTTATGCTCCCAATAAATGCCATAGATTTTCAGATCTGGCTCTGACTGTATTGCTTTGTGCACCTAAGTGAAAATACAAATAGCAGTGGCCAAAGAATTATGTTTTGTGTCATATTCTCCCATTTGCACATAAAGCATGTGAAGCTACTAAAAAGAGAAAACAGTCCAAGGTGATATCACCTGTAAGCACAACTGCTACCAATCCCTTGTCTCATTCATTAGAAATTTAACTCTGCAGCTAATGAAATAAGCAGAAAACAGGTAACAACCCAATTTCTCTCTAAAATCTGTACATTCAGTGACAGAACATTATGCAGGGGGAAAAAAAAACCAACCAACCCCAGTGGAGCATCAAGCACAAAGACTGCTTAAGGTTCTCTAAAAGATTTTCTTCATGAGAAATACTGAAAAAAGAAATCCTATAATCTGAAGGCATATTTCTTGGAAACATTTACATTAAAGTTAGAAGTGTAAACTGAAGCTCATATAGATATGTATTACACAGTTTACACTCCCTCTAATGTGACCAGTGTAGCTTCATTAGCATAAATTCCAGCACAGGTTCAGAATTACTTGAAGTAATTCTCTGTAATTAAGCTGCAAATTTGAAGTTTTACAGCTACAGAAAAACATAACTCATTATAAACTCCTCATTTCAATAGTTTCAAGTTAGTTCAAAAGTCGTACATAAGCTACAATCATTCTGAGATGGAGCACACACTAAAATAGTCTTTCAAGTCCTTTTCAAGAGAAACACAGTAGAGTAACAGTGAGTCTCATACCTGTCCGCCAGGGGGAGCAAGTAGAGCACAGGACACTACTTCACCCTACTTTCTGTTTACTTGCCCTTTCTTAGAGCCGCCACTAACATTTTTTAGCAAGAGAAAGCAATCGAAGTAACTTTGTGAATAATCAGAACTACTAGCTTATAGCTTTTGAAAAACGAAGATAAAATTTTATTATAAGAACTTGTTTTTACCACGAGCTTTTATGACTGCTACTAGAAACTCCAGAGCATAGCTACATGCTCTTACAGTGAATCCAGACAATTAATTTTTCCTTAAGGGGAAAGAAACAAATCAACACTAGATACCTGGCCACTGAGCAGGTGATGTATTAGGAGTCACTGTTTCTTCTAAGCTTGCTGTTCTTAGAGAATGGCGCTGAGTTAATAGCACTGTCTGATACACTGTTCCAGTGAACTGATTTGCTTGAAATGAGCTGTGAAACAGAAAAGTGGGATGTCGTATTTATTAAAAAAAAAAAAAAAAAAAGTTATGTTTAAAACTATTCAAGTGATAGCCCTTTCTAGATGTAGGCACGTGTGAACACTGCCTTCTGGTGCACTATATATTATACCATCACTACAGTAAGACAATGTGTTGACCACTCTCTAAAAAGTACTTTTCATAGACCTTTACCTGTAGCTGTGACCATCACAAAGACATTGGTAGATGCAGGCAGAGAGTGACGCTGCTAAGGTATGCATTACATATATCTGTAAGACAAAGTTTTACAGAAAATATTACACTCAAAGGGAACAGCGGTTAGTAATCACAGCCTTTCATGCATACAGATTTGTAACAGTGGAACAAGCACTGAATATGAAAGGTGCAAGTATTTATGGCAAAATTCCACAGCCTTTTCTTCAGAATTCATTTCAGATACATTAATTCACTTTGCAATGATAAGGATGGGGAAGCACTCATTCGCCCCACCAACCCATAATCACAGATAAGCTCTAACTGCTGTGTTTTCAATTAAGAAACAGCAACATGTTAAACCTCTACACGACAGTCACCCTAAAACAGTAGCAATATGCTGGTTCAGAATAAAAAGGTTTTGCTTCAGAATGAAAATTACAATGCGGCTTATTTTTTGACCAACTCTTGTACAGCTGACACACATACAGATTTACTCGGTATCACTGATCAATATTTTTAATCATATCTGATAGTTTTATTAATGTATCAAAACATACACAAAGATCAAAAAGATTCCTTAAAAAAATTATACTTATTTTTCTGTTTGCTCTGAAAAGAAGCACTAAGCACTAAGTAGGAACTGAGCAACCTCTTGAGTGTTCTCTAAGGAATCCCTAGTAAAAGTAAGTATGATTTGGGAGCCAACACATAGAAAAGTTCAGGAAAAAATTAACCTAACACCTTCAGTTTGGTTTCCAGTCCAAGATTGAATATAGAAGAAGTCTTGCAGAGATATAACTTCAAAACCCCAGATTATATTTGACTGTATGAACATACATACTGTTTCACAAAGAAGTCTGAGTTTACTGTGCTTTACTAACAGTTAGTTTTTATACTTCAAAACTTAGTTTTATTTAGGTCTAGAACTGAAACAGAGTTTACCATTAACGTAAAAGAAATAATGATCATATTGTCATAAAGATGAATGTGACACTGATAGTGTAGTACAGCATGTTTCCCATAACAGATATCATCTGGGACAAATATCCAGTCCCAAGAGAGGCCAAATTAATTTGGCTTGTTTAAGTAGATGCTCAGCACCTCAACAGTAAGTAAAAATCAGTGGACATTATTTTAGCCCAAGATAAGTACTACAGAAAATATTCATATTCTGCAGTTTTATTACTTGTCACAGGTATGCACACCAGAAAGTTTTCATGCTCTCAGAAAAGATTTGTTATTTTAGCAAACTTAACAGTGACAACAACAACAAACCCAAACAACTGTAAAAGAAATACATACTTTGTTGTTCTGAGTATCTGGATGAGGTGGTGAATCAAGGTTTATTATGGCATGTAATATATCATGAGTTAAGTTACCAAGATGTAACAACGGATTAGCCACCACTGTTTTGGCACTAGCTGTGCAAGCAAATAGGAGAGGTATGGAACTTTGCTCTGGTAGAGGGCTGGAAGGTATCTGTATTGACTGCTCCTAAAAACAAGCAAGAAACACACATACAAAGTGATAGTACAGGTTCCTAAAGGGAACAGAACATTTGAAAGACAGGAAGGGGATTCTAAACAACAAATCCCCCATAACCTAGAGAAAACGTAACATGTAAAAAGCAGTGTTATTTATACAGAACAGATGCATACTACTGTAGGAAAACTTCAAAATAATATTAAGCACATTCCAAAAAATCTACAAAAAACAAAAAGCAGAGAAAACACAAACTAAGCTCTCCCACATACCTGCTGAGATTCTTGCAGTAGCAGAATTAATTCCATCCTGACTGATGCCAAACCTCCACCATGAGAGCCATGAAGTATACAGTAACTAAGGAACATTCTTAGGAGAGACTGGTATTTCAGGAGCCACTGACGTCTTTTCTGAAAGTTTTCTTTCTGTAGTACATGTTTTTGCTGGTCAGCTAAGTCTTCAGTGTTCTCATGTAACATAGCTTCCTCTGGCATCACACTTGTTTCTGACTCTCTGTCTTCTACTTCAACACTATAATCACATGTCTTTTGAAGAGCTACCACTTCTCTTTCAAGCCACTGATAAAGCTGATACCTCAACTTCCCACCATCTACCTCATAACCAGTGGACAATGTACGAAGCTCTACAGTAAGAATTTTAAGGCATGCTCTAAACTTCAGTTGTGCTGAAATTATATCTTCTGATTGACTTAGAATATCTGTGTCATCAACTACACTAAAAGATTCTGTGTAGCTAGAATTTGTTTCATGTAATTTTTCAGTTTTCTTCAGAGGTTTTAGCTCTTTCATTACCAGGGAAGAATCTTCACTCTCACTTTCATCACTGTCTGACTGTAGTTTTAAGTGCTCATCTTCAAATACCACACATGGCTGGCTCCAATCAAAGGAAAGAGTTGAACTTGAATGTTTTCCTGATGAACAATCTGAAGAGGAACCTAGACCATTCAGCACTGGCTGTGACCAATCAACACTGGAAGATTGGTCTTTTGTTTCCAACTCTTTAACTGGAGAATATGGTGAGAAGTCTTTACTAGTATCCATTAAACTAGGGGATCTACAGGATGACTTCGACCTCATGACAACTTTAGGCATTTTTGATAACACTTCTAAGGCCAACATAGGACAACCAGCTTTTAGATGAGCATATGCAGTGGTGAAAAACAGCCGTCTTTCGCCTAGGTTGATTTTGTCAGCTAATCCATTTTCTACTGTTAGGCAAATGTGTGTGGAAGATGTATCAGAAGAACCAAAATGACGTCTCAACAGGAGAGGATGTGTTCTTAAGTAGTTATAGAAGTTAAACACTGCAGGGTTACAACTTGATGAGCCATCTTCTTCACCTGAAAAGATATTGAATCATGAGGAAAATATACCATTCTGTATGAAATAATCCATCTGCAAAGTTCCAAGTTCAGAAGGCTATAAGGTCTTAATATTAATTCGATTGTTTACTTCATTGCACCCCCTTTTTCACCTTCCTTTGCACCTTTATCATCTAAGTATCTTGGGAGGGAGGACACCGACAAACCTCATCACTACTAAAAAGAGAAGCTTGAGTGGGAAAGCAGGTGTTCCAGGGATCGAAGGATTCTGGGTGGAGAAGGAATGTAAGCCACACGTACACACCCCAAACTACTAAAAAGTTTATTACAAGATCTAAAATGTAAAATCCAGATGTAAAATCCAGAGGTATCCCAAGCCAGAAAGAGAGAGAACTAAAGGCTACCAAAGAATAGATTGGGCACAGATTCTTACCAACCTACACATTTGTTCAATCACCAGGAGGCCAGCTCCAAGGTGCATTGAGAGCAAACAGGGTTGCAGGCACATATTTTTGCATTTGTCCCCGTGGAGGTAAGGTTGGCCATAAAAAGCACTTGGATCCGCTTCCTTCTCTCAATCTCTCTCAAACCCTGGGCCTTTTATATCCCAAAAAATGCCAACTCATCCGGACGCAGGGGGCCAGCCTGCGCTAGGAGGAGTGGCCCTGCTGGCTCCCAGCCGTGCACACTCACTCCAAGTAATCGGGGTGGTCCACCACGGACCAGTTTTTACAGTGTTAGACCCATCTAACACAGCAGGTAAGATCATTAAAACAGCTGCGTTTACTTTCCTTGCAGTCAGGCCAGATCTACTGCAGTCAAACAAGACCACATTCTTGTTCAGCTTAGATTTCTTGAGTCCCCATCACTAAATTACAGTAAGATATTACATCTTACCAAGGACTTTTACTTTAAAAAGTCTTCTTTACAAATTTTGTATTATTATTTACTTTTTCTACCTTCTAACAAAAACGCAATTTATAATAAAACTAGGCAATCCATCATATTTATAAATGTTTTTTATAAATTACATGCAAATAAATAAATTGTATAGCAGTTCAGCACCTACCCAATTTATTTTCATGTCCAAAACCACAAAATGAAAAACCCTAAAAACATAAAAGCATCAGCATAGATGATTCACACAGCCTCCTGGGCCTGAGGTTAGCCAAGACAGATAGCCTTACTGTCTCCTCTTTTGGGAGTTATGGCACAACTAACTACAAATAATAGGAAAAGGTATATGAAAGAGAACCTTTTAAGTAAGAAAATAAAGCAAAATACCACAAATAAACCACTGAACTGATTAAAGAAGAATTAGTAACATTTAAAAAATATTTTATGCAGGAGGATGTGACCAAGATGGAAACAACTGAGCATTATGTCCCTCACTTGCTCAAAATTATCCTAAGTCATATAACTTCTACTGAAATCAGATTTTAAAATTAATTACACAACTCTGGGGATTTGGATCTCCATTCATCCCCATAAAATTTCTCTCAGTAGCCAGGACTGAAATGCAGCTAGCATGCTAACTAGTAGGGACTCGAAACATTTAACTTCCTTGTGAACATTAACTTTAAGTAATATCACAACTGATTCTTATAAGGCCTATTAAAGTGAACAGGTAAAAATCATTTCAGGAGATTTACATGCTATTTCAGACACCACGTGGACCACTTTGTATCATAGCAAATATCAAAAATCTTTTCTATGGCAGTTTATGATTGTGGTAAACAATTCTTGCCAAGGACTAAAAGCTACAAAACACAATCAGAATTTGTTTCCTACGTTGTGATGGAGTCAAACTAGATATTGAAGTTACTTTGTGTCTTCGCCTTTAAGTTGCTGCTGGAAAAACAGCTGCATCACTTCAGGGCGATTCTCATTATCCTGATACTCACATCCTTAAAGGATAAATTAAGTATACATTCATGGGATTTAGGATTAACAACACAGTCACCACAATTACTACAAAAGCCACATACATTGCTACAGCAAACTCTTTACTAGCAATGGCAAGCAACTGTGCAGTACTTGGCCTTGTTCAGAATACACTTAAGAAACTACTACTTAAATGAACAAATAGTTAAAACCAACCTAACGTATTCTTACCTCCCTCATCTTCAACAGAATGTTTAATTAAAGTGTTAAGAGCCTTGCTATAATCTTCCAAAATCCAGTAAGCCATACTTCGCAGAAAAGGGTCATAGTGCATGTTTCCTGAGCTCTCTTTTCCAGGACACACACTTCCCAGAATTCTCTTCTGTAGTACAGATTTGTAAGTACTAGATACTTCAAACTCCGATTCATAAAGTCTTGATATTACAAGAGCCAACTGAATGTCATTCAGTTTTTCAAGGCAGACCTAATTGAAAATAAATATATTCACAAGAACAAACATTACAATTTCTCCTCTGGCTAAAATGATCACAAGACAGGAAGTGACATGACAGTTCAGACTGAGATAACTGGGCCTATTAATTCTATAAAAAATTAGCAGGAACTATGCAAAATAGCTGTAGCTAACTGTTACATGTAAGTCCTGATGTGCAGTTTCTTCAGTTTAAGTCTGACATGACAACAGATCTTTGAAATTAACTGGCATCAATAAATCATCACCAGTGTGCACATGAAACCTCTTGAAGCTGTATGCTTTTGTTACAAAGTTTTACAGAACAAATCCTTCATTAGCAAAGAGATGAATTTCCTCCAAATTTTTCAGTTTAAGCAGACAAACAATTTTGGTTTGTGAAGGGATTCTAGAAGCCCACCGACATTACTGCCAACAAGCCTTCTTTTTCAGATCTGGAACTTTCTAATGAGAAACTGTGTTATCTTCATACATGTCAGGGCGGACAAACTGGAAGCACGTTAATGGTAGGTAGGCCTCTTATTATTATACAGAAATTAAGCATGGGACTTTTTAGCATCACTAATATGAGAGCTAAAACAGAAACAAAATGTACAGATCAAGGATTTCTACTTGTTAATTTGGGGGCAGGGGGGAGAGGTAAGGGCGAGCAGGG